CTGAGAGGTGGGGGTGAGGACTGGCATGAAGATATTTGCCTTGGGGTGTAGGGAAGGCCCTTCAGTAAAGGGAAAGTGGAATAGAGACCAAACCAGGTGAGGGAGTCGCCAGGCTGATATTTGGGAGAAAAGTGCCACAGACAGAGGGAACAGCTGATGCAAATGAAATGATCCAGTGAGGAGTGCATGTATGTGGGCAGAGCAAAGCAGTGTGCAGGAGGAGTGAGGGAGGGGATGGAGTGCTAGCAGATGAGGTCAGAAAGGCAGCCGGGGTAGGTGATCCAGGCTTTTAAGGGGCTTGGATTGAATTCTAGAGTAGGTTAGGAAACCACTGAAGGATGGGGAGTGATGTGACATGTTTATATATTAAAAGGACCATCCTGGATGCCAATGACAGGCTGGGAGTAGAAACAGGGAGACGTGTTAGAAGGCTCTTACAGGAAGTGTTGTGTGAAGATGGAAGCGGTGGTGGGGAAGATGGGGCAGGAACTTGAACACTCCCATTCCCCTTCTGAAAAAATTAACACCCTAAATCCTCTTCTCCATTTGCTTTCCTCCTCGTGCCTCTGCTGACTCCCAGCCCCCATTTCTCTCTCCCCTGTCTTCTGTCCTTGTCCCTTGCTCTTGACCTTGGATACAATTCTCTCAGCTCCTGCTTCCCTTACCGCAACTGCTTCACTACTCGTAACTTTCCAAGATGACTTTTTCTGGGTAGCGAGGTGGGCAGGGCCGCTGGGTGACCCCATATCCTCTCCCTCAGGTGGTTGTGGCAACAAACATTGCTGAGACATCACTTACCATTGAGGGCATCATTTATGTGCTGGATCCAGGGTTCTGTAAGCAGAAGAGCTACAACCCCCGCACAGGAATGGAATCGCTCACTGTCACACCCTGCAGCAAGGTCAGCCTGGGGATGCATGGGAGTCAGGGAGGTAGAATTGGTCCACGGGGAAGGTCCAACTCCAGCAGCAGGGTAGGGGCTTCTTAGCGAACGGGGATGAGCAGTTTACATCCATCTAAATTTCTTGCATAAATACTGCCCTTTTTCTTTTCCCCGACCAAATTGTCAGCTAGCCTGCTCTCCTTTCTTTCCAGGCCTCAGCTAATCAGCGAGCTGGCAGGGCAGGTCGGGTGGCTGCAGGGAAGTGCTTCCGCCTGTATACCGCCTGGGCCTATCAGCACGAGCTTGAGGAAACCACAGTGCCTGAGATCCAGAGGACCAGCTTGGGCAATGTCGTGTTGCTACTCAAGAGCTTAGGTGACTGGGCTACCTGAGAGAAGGGGGAGGTGGGCTGGAGTCATGGTCCTTTGAAGGGACTCTGTTCCATCCCACCCACCTCTCTGTAGGGATCCATGACCTAATGCACTTTGATTTCCTGGATGCTCCACCATATGAGACACTGCTGCTGGCTTTGGAGCAGCTGTATGCCCTGGGAGCCCTCAACCACCTTGGGGAGCTCACCACGGTGAGTTGGGGGGCAGCATGGGTGGGGGCAGGATGATAAGGGTCAGGATGGCTCCAGGGACCCCTATAGCAATGGAGGGAATCCTGAGGGAGGACCGAGCTCAACTCTCTCTCTCTCTCTCCTCTCCTTAGTCTGGTCGAAAGATGGCAGAGCTGCCGGTGGACCCCATGCTGTCCAAAATGATCTTGGCCTCTGAGAAGTAAGCCCTCCTCTCCACCCAGGCCCCCAGGCCTCCTCTGTCTCTGGGGTCTTCTTTGTCTCTTTGTCTTTTTCTCTTCATATTATTTAATAAATAATAAATTATTAGATAACTCCGAATGCCCCCTTCTGAGGCCCACAAGGGTAAGACACTTGATCCTGTCCTTGATTATAGTAAATGGGCAAGACTGACTGACAGAAAATTATGGGTCATGAACGAAAGTAGATTTTCCATCTGGGAGGGTTATTGAATGAGGGCTGGTTTTGGAACTTATTCCCAAGGTTTCAAACTAGAACATTTAGATGTAGCTGTTGGAGGGACCACCTTTAAATGCCATTCCTCTGCTGTCAGAGATCTTTTCCGAATGCACATATTGAATGCACACTTTCTGCAGAAGCCTCAGAAGTCCCCAGTGTTTTCTGCTCCTGCCTCCATGGATGTCCCTCCCTTGTAACTGTGTTTCATCTATGCTCCTACCTCCTTGACCCCCAAACTGCTGCCAGAATCTATCTATCTGCTGGCTGCTTTGTAACCATTATGCCAACCGGCCTTCCCCACACGAGGAAACATCCATCACACAGCGATCCCTTCCCCCTCCACCGTACCTGTGTTTATGTGTCTTGCTTTGAACTCGTGTTTTCCCCGTCCTGTCCCAGGTACAGCTGTTCAGAGGAGATCCTGACAGTGGCTGCCATGCTGTCTGTCAACAACTCCATCTTCTACCGGCCAAAGGACAAGGTTGTCCATGCGGACAATGCCCGTGTCAACTTCTTCATTCCTGGTGGTGACCACCTGGTTCTGCTAAACGTTTACACACAGGTCACTGGGCGTGGGTGAGTGGGAAAGAGACACGGGGGGACTTCAGTCCCGCTGTATACTTAACGACCTCTCCTTTCTTTTTAACCCTCTTCCCAGTGGGCTGAGAGTGGTTACTCTTCCCAGTGGTGCTATGAGAACTTTGTACAGTTCAGATCAATGCGCCGAGCCCGAGATGTGCGGGAACAGCTGGAAGGGCTCTTGGAACGCGTGGAAGTTGGTCTCAGTTCCTGCCAGGGGGACTATATCCGTGTACGCAAGGTCAGCATTTCTTTTGCCTACTGCCTTCTACCCGCAGTACCTTCTGGGGGGCATGCAGCAGCTCCTCCAGCCTGAGGACATGTCCTCCCAGGGCTTTCTTCCCCAGACCACTGAAGGTTCATTCCTGGGGGATTCTTCATGCCTTCCCTACCTCGCTAGTTTTCCCGGTAGTGAGCACTTAGGGTCCCCAGGTATCTGCCTTTTCCATTGATTTTCTTTCCTGCCTTCCCCTTAGGCCATCACTGCTGGTTACTTTTACCACACAGCACGGTTGACTCGGAGCGGCTACCGCACAGTGAAACAGCAGCAGACGGTCTTCATTCATCCCAACTCCTCCCTCTTTGAGCAACAGCCGCGCTGGCTGCTCTACCATGAACTTGTCTTGACCACCAAAGAGTTCATGAGACAGGTGAGGAGAACATCCTGTGCCCATGCAGGTGGAGACTGTAGAGCGGTGTCCTGGCAAGCTAAGAACCCAGGTTCAGGTTGCTTGGCCTGGTACAAAAATAGGGAGGTAGGGTAAAATGAAAGACATCCTTTTGTTTTTTGTTTTGTTTGAGACAGAGTCTCACTGTGTCGCCCAGGCTGGAGTGCAGTGGTGTGATCTTGGCTCACTGCAACCTCTTCCTCCTGGGTTCAAATGATTCTTGTGCCTCAGCCTCCCAGTAGCTGGGATTACAGGCACAAGCCACCATGCCCAGCTAATTTTTTGTATTTTTAGTAGACGTGGGGTTTCACCATGTTGGCTAGGCTGGTCTCAAATGCCCGCCTCGGCCTCCCGAAGTGCTGGGATTACAAGCATGAGCCACGGTGCCTGGCTGACATCCTTCCTTACAGGTGTCAGCATCTTCCAAGATCTGAGAACTATACATTCATTCAATAAATATTTGAATGGCTACTGTATAGGTGCTGGGCTATAATGAACAGAGTTGAGTCTCTGGTTTCACAAGTGTACTTATAGTCTTCATGTTCCATACTTTTCTTAGGAATAGCTTATTTGGTATCTTGAATACATATAGAGGTCTATCTGCCCTTTGGGTATATAATAATAGAGCCAGGCACCTTTACCTCTAGCCCTGTAGTCAAAGGGGAAAGTAACTTTCCACCACACACATAACGATCTAGGCTGGCGCTGGGCATGGTGGCTCATTCTTGTAAGCCATCCCAGCACTTTGGGAGGCCAAGATTAGCCCAGGCAACATAGTGAGACCCCATCTCTACAAAAAAATTAATGGGGCACTGTGATTCGTGCCTGTAGTCTCAGCTACTTGAGAGGCTGAGGCAGGATTGCTTTGAGCCAGGAGGTCAAGGCTGCAGTCAGCCACTGCAGTCCAGCCTGGGCAATAGAACAACACTGTCACCCAGGTTGGAGTGCAATGATGTGATCTAGGCTCACTGCAGCCTCCACCTCCCAGATCCAAGTGATTCTCCTGCTTCAGCCTCCCAAGTAGCTCGGATTACAGGTGCCCACCACCACGCCCAGCTAATTTTTTGTATTTTTTTAAAGACAGGGTTTCACTATGTTGGCCAGGCTGGTCTCAAACTCTTGACCTTGTGATCTGCCTGCCTTGGCCTCCTAAAGTGTTGGGATTATAGGTATGAGCCATTGTGCCTGGCCGACCCTGTTTCAATTTAGAAAAAAAAATTGACAATAAAAAAGGATCTAGGGCCGGGCGCAGTGGCTCAAGCCTGTAATCCCAGCACTTTGGGAGGCCGAGGCGGGTGGATCACGAGGTTGAGAGATCGAGATCATCCTGGTCAACAAGGTGAAACCCCGTCTCTACTAAAAATACAAAAAATTAGCTGGTGGCACGTGCCTGTAATCCCAGCTACTCAGGAGGCTGAGGCAGGAGAATTGCTTGAACCCAGGAGGCGGAGGTTGCGGTGAGCCGAGATGGCGCCATTGCACTCCAGCCTGGGTAACAAGAGCGAAACTCCGTCTCAAAAAAAAAAAAAAGGATCTAGGGTGGAAAGAAGAGAACTCTATTGCTCTTTTCTCTCTCCTTCTAGGTACTGGAGATTGAGAGCAGTTGGCTTCTGGAGGTGGCTCCCCATTATTATAAGGCCAAGGAGCTAGAAGATCCCCATGCTAAGAAAATGCCCAAAAAAATAGGCAAGACACGAGAAGAGCTAGGGTGAGAGAAGGACATGAACAGAACCTGACACCAGCTCCTTTTCCTACTATACATTATTTAATATCTATTAAATAAAATTATTTTTGGAATAAAGCTTGTGGGAACATTTGGGATTCAGAGAAATTCTCTCTCTCATAGTCAGTTAAACTTTATTATTTACAAGTTAAATTACACAGCAGCTTTACACAGCATGAGATGGAAAGGAAGGAAGGAGAGAGAGGAGAGGAAGCTGGGTCCTGAGATTCTTGGCTGCCTCTGTCTCCTCTTAGGCATAGCAGTCTTCAGTGCTGCTCCCATTCCAAGGCCAAAGATCAGGGCTCAGAACACAGGTTTAAGTCAGGTTCTGGCTCTGACAGCCCCAGGGCCACCAGGGCTCCCACTAGCAGCTTCTTCACTGGTGTTGGAGGTGAGTGTGAAGGCATCAGCTGCAGGGAGAAAGGTTAATGCCAGTTGGGGGAAGCACAGAGATGTTCTACCCTTCACCCAGCCCAACTAGAACTCACTTTATCTAGGCGATGGCGACAAATGAGGCCACTGGAGTTCAGGTAGAAAGTGGAGTAGGCATCATAGGTCCTGGGGAACAGAGAGAGAGGCTTACTGAGGGGGAAGGTGACTGGTCCCAAAGCTTAATCCAAGCATTTGTTTAAACGAGTAGTTCCTAAATTCTGCTACATACTAGATCACCCAGGGAACTGACAAACATCTCTGCTTAGGTTGTGCCCTGTCCCAATTAAATCAGAATGTTTGGTGTCAATATATTTTTTAACAATCCTGGAGTATTTCTATTGTGCAGCAGTTTGGGAATTGCTGGTTTAAAAACTTACATCCAATGTTTGTGGCTGAGCCTAACAATTTCTTGGGATTCTACTCCCAGGCAGAAATTTATCAAGCTGTAAGGCTCAACAAATGAAAACAGCACTTTTCATTTGTTCAGTACATTTTCTTTTTTTTTTTTAAAGACAGGGTTTCACTGTGTCACCCAGGCTGGAGTGCAGTAATGTGATCATGGCTCACTGCAACCTCCCCTTTCTGGGTTCAAGGGATTCTCCCATCTCAGCCTCCAAAGTAGCTGGACGTGCAGATGCACACCACCATGCCTGGCTAATTTTTATATGTTTTGGTAGAGACAGGGTTTCACCATGTTGGCCAGAAGGTCCTTTCTCAGCTCTCCTTACCTGAGGTGATCTGCCTGCCTTGGCCTCCCAAAGTGCTGGCATTACAGGCATGAGCCACCACACCTGGCCTGTTCAGTAAGTATTTGAGTACCTACTATGTGCTAAGTACTGTATAGGAAGAAACTGAAGCTCAGAGATTTTTCTAGTATACTCAGTCTCTGTTATTTTTAAAACTAACGTAAACTTCAACAAGTTCCCTGTCCTTGAACAGTCAAGCCAGGATAGGTCAACGGTTGTTTGGGAGACTAAATCGTCTGTAATCCCAGCACTTTGGGAGGCTGAGGTGGGTGGATCACCTGAGGTCTGGAGTTTGAGACCAGCCTGGCCAACATGATGAAACCCTGTCTCTACTAAATACACAAAAATCAGCTGAGTGTGGTGGTGGGTGCCTGTAATCCCAGCTACCCAGGAGGCTGAGGCAGGAGAATCGCTGGAACCTGAGAGGCAGAGGCTGCAGTGAGCCAAGATGGTGCCACTGTACTCCAGCCTGGGCGACTGAGCAAGGCTCCCGTTGCAAAAAACAAAAGACAAGGGAACTGATTATAGTTTGGGTCCTTTCTCAGCTTTCTTACCGGTAAAGCTCATCTTTGTCACGCTTGTAGAACCGTAGAAAGAGCAAGTGGACAGGCAGCCCTACGAGCCGCCACCGGGCTTGCAGGGTCCAATTCTCAGGGTGGCGGGTCAGCTGCAGAACCTCCAAACGAAGCTGTGCAAAATAATTCCAGGCCAGGAAACGGCAGAGGGTCAGTGAAAGAATATACAATGTCCGGCCCCTGTGAAGAAGGGATAGGAAAGAAATCTAACGATGGCAGAATTAGAAAACCAAACTGGCTTCTGTCCAAGGAAGGGGGAACAGCTGTGAGAAGCAGTCTAGGAACTTCTCTGGGAAGTGAAAAGAGTCAAGGGTATAGCTTTAGGTCCTTTTCCTCCCCAGGGCCCTACCTGTGCCCCAATTCTCACTTGGTACGTATGTTGAGGATCTCATTGATGAATTCCACATCCAAGGAATACAGACTGTAGTCGTGGGATTGAAGGAAGAGATTGGGAAGCTAGATGCAAGAAAACAGCATCAACCCAGTGTGAAAGAAAACATAATCTTATTTTTCAGTTTTCTATAAATAAATAAATAAATAAATACATATATATATATATATATATATTTTTTTTTTGAGATCGAGTCTTGCTCTTTTGCCAAGGCTGGAGTGCAATGGTGTGATCTTGGCTCACTGCAACCTTCGCCTTCCGGGTTCAAGTGATTCTCCTGCCTCAGTCCCCCAGAGTAGCTGGGATTACAGGCGTGTGCCACCATGCCTGGCTAATTTTTCTATTTTTGGTAGAGACGGGGTTTCACCATATTGGCCAGGCTGGTCTCGAACTCCTGACCTCAGATGATCCACCCGCCTCCGTCTCCCAAAGTGCTGGGATTACAGGTGTGAGCCACAAAGCCCGGCCAAGAAAATGTTTATAACACGCCGGGCGCGGTGGCTCAAGCCTGTAATCCCAGCACTTTGGGAGGCCGAGGCGGGTGGATCACGAGGTCGAGAGTTCGAGACCATCCTGGTCGACATGGTGAAACCCCGTCTCTACTAAAAATACAAAAAATCAGCTGGGCATGGTGGCGTGTGCCTGTAATCCCAGCTACTCAGGAGGCTGAGGCAGGAGAATTGCCTGAACCCAGGAGGCGGAGGTTGCGGTGAGCCGAGATCGCGCCATTGCACTCCAGCCTGCAGCCTGGGTAACGAGAGCGAAACTCCGCCTCAAAAAAAAAAAAAAAAAAAAAAAAAAGAAAATGTTTATAACACATTTTTATGCCTTCTTCATGGTTCCCAAGAAGAATCTGGTTGACTAACCCCCTACTTCCAAGGATTACCCACATCCCTTCCCACTGTAGATGAAGACCACTTTTGCACTGACTTACCTCTTGTCTCAGTCTCTCATACATGACAGACAGATGTTCCTCCATACTAGGATCTCCGGACGGGTTGGTGGGGGAAGGGTGGGCAGTTCCAGGGGCTTGGAAAGGCATCAAAGCCCCAGGATAGGGGCAGGGAGGTCCCTCAAAAAGGCTTCTAAGCCCATCCAGGCAGCCGCTATGCAATTCAGGTTCTGGTCCCTCCTCCTCATTTCTTGGAGGGAGAGCCACCCATGCTGAGTTGAGGGCCTGGATCTGAAGGAGAGGTAGTGGGGGAGCCTGGGGAAGACGCTGGGTGGGAGGCCATGGGGGCAGGGGAGAACAGAGTAGAGGATAAGATGGGGAAGTGGTTGTTGTGGAAGGGGGCCAAAGGGGTGGGAATGGTAGACTCCCTGGAGAAAGCTGGTCCTAAGGAGACAACAAAAGGTAAAAACATAAGAATCCACTTGCCTAACACCCCTTCATCCCTTGGATGCTCAACAGGCTTCCAATATATTTTCCTGACAGAATGGATGGAATTACTATAGCAAAAAAGGGATGGATTCATCTCCATCTGCACTGAAAACGAGGAAACCATTTTATGTGACACAAGTACAAGTACCGGTACCTCCCCAAAATACTAGCAAACGTCTTTATTTTTTTGAGACGAAGTCTTGGTGTCCCCCAGGCTGGACTGCAGTAGCCTGATCTCAGCTCACTGTAACCTCCACCTCCCGGGTTCAAGCGATTCTCCTGCCCTAGCCTCCCAAGTAGCTGGGATTACAGGCACCCACCACCACGCCCGGTTCATTTTTGTAATTTTAGTAGAGACGGGGTTTCACCATGTTGGCCAGACTGGTCTACAACTCCTGACCTCAGGTGCTCCATCCGCCTCGGCCTCCCAAAGTGCTGGGACTACAGGCGTGAGCCACCTGCGCTCGGCCACATTCCTTGAAGATTCCAGCACTGGGGGCAGTTTCACCTCTCTTATTGCAAGAATCATGTAATACATACTTGATGAGTGAACGAATAACAGGTTTTATTGTACTGTGGATGAAATGCTGTGGCCTGTACCTCTCCACGCTTAAGTGTGCTAGGCAAATGTACACAGAAAAGAATATCCAACTGAAGCTAGGAATCTAAATTCTAATTCTACCCTGTAACTTTAGGTACTCTCATTCCCTACGTCTCCGCTTCCTACAAATGTCCTATAAATGAGGACAATAAAGACTCACTGGGTTTTGAGGCCTTTATGAGATAATGACAGCCCCTCTAATGACAGCCAAACCTCAGGAGACAGTTATAGGCTGGCCTTCATTCTCCTGGGTTTACCGACGTTGAAACGACGAGGGGAGGTCACCCAAAGTCAGGCCTGTCCCGAGTCCCTCCATTCCCAAGGAACCCCCCGGGGGCCTGTCTCACTCCAGGGAAGGCGGGCCGACCGCTCGGGTACCTCCGTCCCCGACGGTGTCCCAGAGGCGCCGTCTCTGCTGGGGGCGTGGCCATCTTGCCAGCCCCGGCGCACGGGCCCGAACCGGGTGCACAGTGGCCGGCCTTCGTGCCAGGACCGCTCTCCGGGTGCAAGATGTGCGGGCTGCTGTGGGTGCCCCGCGGGTCTGCTCTGGGCCGCGGATTTCCGGGGCGGCACCGCGGCCGGGCTGCAAATCTCTCCGCCCCTGCCCTTCAAATCACCTCCAGGCACAGGTAACCGAGGACAGTCGGGCGCAACGCACCCGCCAGTGAGCCCTCAGCCCTGGGGGCACCGACGTCCCTGCGCTCCAGGCCCGGCAGCGCCGCCTCCCCGCCCCAACGACCCCTAGGCAGTCCACGCGCCGCGGGGCACAGGTGGGAAGGGGCGGTGGGTGTCACTGCGCCTGCGCGGAAACCGGTGCGCGCTCCGCCCCGCGCACCGGTTCTGAGGAGGGTCTCTCCCCGCCCCCTCTTCTCTCTCCCGCTGTTCAGCTCTCACCTGGGGTCTAGCCTGGTAGGCGCGGAGGCAGGGGCCGAGCCGCCGAGCCGCACCCCGGCTGGGCTGGTACATGATCTTCCGGGAGTGGAGGAGCCTCCTGAGTCCGACCTCCGGCCTCCTCACAGGGGTGAGCGCGCCCCGGAGCCGGCTTCGTGAAGGGGAAAGGAGGGGGGGAAGGGGCTGAGGGAGGGAAACGGAGATGTCGCGCGCTTGCGCACCGCGGGCTTAAGCGAAGCGGCTGTAGCGCTCTATCGGCAGTAAGTGCGCTTGCGCTCGCGGGCTCGGAGGCTGCCTGAATGCGCTTGCGCAAATTAGCAGCCCAAGCACCGTATTCACAGCTGAGGCATTTGCGCAGAAAGCTGAGCAAAAGCAGCGCCGAACCGGGGGCAACGACAGTGAGGGGTGAGGAGGCCGAAATAATGAGTTTTTCAACAGCTCTTGTGATAAAAATAAATACTTTTATTGCTCTGGTTAAAAGATACAAATGACTTGAAGCTGATAGGCCCGCTGAATGAATGAATGAATGAATGTATCCATCTGTTATGAGGGTTGGGCTTTAGCTCTTTCCTGTAGTGAGGGAGAAATAATACTGTGAAGATGTGACACGGGGCTGCGGTCACCAAGGCCTGGTGCTGCGTCGTTCCTGCAGGTTTCGAATGAACCTGGCGTTGAATATGTCCCCACCCATTGTCCAGGACTGGGCTGGTGGGGCCGGGGCCGGGGCCTGTGGAGGAGCTGTGTGCACAGGCTGCTCCCCAGACCCATCCTGCGACAAGGCCTGCTCCTCACTGGCAGACCTGGTAGGTGCGAAGATGGAGAGTGGGTTATAGGACTACTAAGGAGGAAAGTAAGATTACAGACTCTTCAAGGTCTCGGGCCAGGTTTTAATGTAGGACACATGATGGGTATGATGCTGGAACCATTAGTGCTATGTCCAAATTCAAAACCTCTCAGAGAACCTTTATTCCAAAGGGAAGTACAGAGTTGAACCTGTAGGGAAAGGAGCTTGGAGGATGTCTAAGGTAGAAGGAATTGTGGGAGGAGCTGGTGTTGAGTTCATACAGTAAGATTTAGGAGTAGGAAGTGGTTGAGAGTGACGTTAGGAAGGGAGTCAGACGGTGGTGGGAGACTGTTAGGGGAAGGGTTTAGACCTCACCTATTCTTTGTTTCCTGTTCTCCCTGCTTGGAGTCTTGGTTGCCTGTGGAAACATCAGGCGTATGAATGGGAAGGCAGGAGTAGATAGTGAATGTGGCCTACTTGATTTGAGGGTAAAGAGAAGTTAATACTTACCTGTATTGGGGGATGCGGAAGTCACCCCCCCATGGCGGCTGTAGCAGCAGCTTTGGGCTACCAGCCCTGGGGGAGTCCCCCTGTAGAAGAAATGGGAGATGATGGGGAGGAGACTATGGATGAAAGATGGGTGGGTATGGAGGAATCAGAGGAGAGGAGTAAAAGGAATGGCACAGGAACAAAGAGAAGGGGGTAATTATCATTCCTAAGGGGTTTTAATCAAAGCTCTGCCCCAGAAAAGGGTGGAGGAAGTTCATTTTATACCCAAGATTTTCTGAAGCACCTCTGATGTATTGCTGTTCTTTCTAGTTGAGGTAATGTGTTAAATCTATGGCTAGATGTGATCCAAATCATGTCATAAGAACAGACTCACATGTAATAAAAAATTTGTTGGATCAGGTACTCTGGTGTTTGGTTTGGAAAACAGGGTTACCTTAAGTATAAGATTCCTTAGACCAGGCCGGGTGTGGTGGCTCATGCCTGCAATGAGCCACCTTTGGGAGGCCAAGGTGGGCAGATCCCATGATTAGGAGATCAAGCCTGGCCAACATGGTGAAACCCCATCTCTACTAAAAATACAAAAATGACTAAAAATACAAAAATGACCCGGGTGCAGTGGTACACTCCTGTAATCCTAGCTACTCGGAGGCTGAGGCAGGAGGATTTCTTGAACTGGGGAGGCAGAGATTGCAGTGAGCCAAGATCATGCCACTGCACTCCAGTTTGGCGACGGAGTGAGACTCTGTCTCACAAACAAACAAACAAAAAAGATTCGTTAGACCAGAGGGAAACAGGAAGTGACAAAGCTGAATTTTTAATTTCGGAGGAAAAGGAAGGGGGCCTCTGTAAATAGGGTGACAGATTGTGTTGGACTCTCCACAGAAGTAAGGGTTTCTCTTGAGGGAGATCCAGGGATTTAGTGGAGCAGACATCAGGTAATCAGTGGGAAGAGGAATACAGGAGGCAGGAGGTTAATTAGTGGATACAGAGGTGATGGTAAGCCTTGACATCTCAGCAATGGCTGGCCCAGAATAAAGGGTAGAAGTCACTGGGGAGAACTGGAGGTTCCTGGAAGGAATGAGGGAGTAGTAGAAGCCCATGCACAAGGATTCAGGACCTACATGAGAGGAGACACAGAATCTGCAGGACTAACAGTCAAGATGAGGATAGGCAGACATCAGATACAGGAGCTTTGAGGCTCCTGGGTAAAAGATATGCAGATCTCAGAAATGAAGAAATGAGAGGGACAGAGGTCCTGAGATCCCAGGATTTAAATAAAGGGTGACGCACAAATGAGGCTGACAAGCTTTTTTTTGTGTGATTCGTTTTTTTCATTGAAAATGTCAATTTAGAAAACACAAAAGAATTCATATTTTATTGAGACGACACTGAGAGGGAGAAGAAAAGGGAAGAGTGAGTAGGGGAGAGGAGGAGATCCGGCTCCCAAGGATTTTAGGAAACACAGTGGGGCACCTGATCTAGCATACATTCAGAGGGTAGGGAGGGGAAAGGATCTAGCTATACCCCAGGCATGGAGCAGGGAAGGTCGTCCTTGCTATGGAGGAAAGGAGAGAGGAAGGACAGAGGAAGAATGGTCCCCTATCTGATCTCGACAATCTCACAAGATGGGAATATATCAGCATCTAGCTACCAGGGAGGGATGGATACAAGAGGGGATTCCAGGATCTAACAGATCCTTGAGACTCTGGATCTATTCTCAAGAAACAAGCTCCCCCAGAGAATGGATCTAGGGGAAAAGGTGGTGTCAGCCAGTCTCCTTAAGAAACCCCAAAGCAACATCAGTTTGGGGTTCCCTGACACCTACACAAAATATGGAAATGAAGAGTTTGGCAATGTTGAGTAGATCCCTTTGGGGAGCTGGTGAGTCCTTGTCCTACCTAACTAGACTGCTCTGAAGCAGAGCTTGCTCACTGGCAGCCGTTCCCAGGCTCAAAGGGCAAGTATTAGAGCCACCAGTAGACACTAGAGGGAATACGGGGTTTATGCCATGGGTAAGACTCCTTAAAAAGTTTCCCTGGCAGAGGACGCCTAGACCTTCCATGGTGTTCTAGGGTTTGACAGCAAGCAAGAATGTGCTTCTCTAAATGTATGAGCCACCCAACCAAGGGTTCTGGCAACAGATCAGGCTGTCTGTGGGGAAGGCATTTAGAGCCTAGGTTAGGAGAGAAGGGGTAAGAAAAGCTACAAAGTGTTAGGCCATTTGAGTCCCTGACAACCCTAATGTCTAAGAAAGTGGAAGAGGGAATCTTAGGGGCTCTGTCAGGTTCCACTGGGTCCTACAGGATGCAATGGAAGAGTGGGTCTGGGGTTCTCAGGGAGGGGGTCTCTGCCCACCCCAGGTCTCCCAGGGAGGGGAGAGGGTAGCTGTCTGTCAGTATCGACTCTCCTCAGAGCGGGGAAGGGAGCTGTGGAAGGATGTTATGGACGGGAGGAAGGGAGAGGGGAGATGGGGGGGGAGAGAAAAACAGGTAAGTCAGAAGTGAAGAGAAAGCTAGGGAGAGAAATAAAGGAAATGCCCACTCCCTGCCTGCTGGGTGGACTCTTGGCACACAGGCCAGTGGCTGCCCCTTCCCCAGCAAGAGTTAAGCCAAGATCTCCCCAATCTTAGAAGGCTCCATTCCCCCAACTCGATGGATCCGTGTTCTTCCTACCGTTCCACAGAACTCTCACATTAAAGCCAGGGTCCCTAGGCTTCATATAAAGTCCTGTTCTGCTCTTTCACTGTATTTTTGTCCCAGATCACTTGCACTTGTATTTTTCTTGTAAGGTTCCAGGACTCCCCAATCCACCCATCTTATTGATCCATCTCTCTGATGGATTCAAATTGCCCTTTGCCATTTCTAACATCCTCTTTGATAGCTGTGAGGCTCCTTAGCCCTTCAACTCCTATTACCTGGTGCGACGACGTTGGGCTGGGCTGCCCCCAGGGTCGGCAGCCAGCAGAAGGCGGGCAGTAGGGTGTGGGGGGCAGAGGCGCAAAGAACGCAGAAGCTCCTGCTCTGGCACAAAGGGGCGGAGGGGACCTCGTTCTGGTGAGTTTCCCAGGCTGCTGGAGCGGGGGGGTGGGTGGGCTGGAGGTGTGGCACGGCGAGGGGCCCTGTTTAGGGGCCAAGGAGGCTCCACAGCCACCTTCAGAACTGGGGACAAGGAGAATGAAGAGCAAGACAGAAAAAGAAGAAAAAAAAAAGAGGGAAGGAAGAGATAAGAGTCATGACAGCAAAGATTTGGGTGGAAAAAAAACCTGAGTCTTTTTTTTTTCTTTTTTGAGACGGAGTCTTGCTCTGTCACCCGAGCTGGAGTGCAGTGGTGTGATCTTGGCTCACTGCAACTTCCATCTCTCGGGTTCAGGCCATCCTCCTGCGTCAACCTCCCGAATAGCTGGGATTACAGACACGTGCCACTGTGTCCAGTTAATTTTTGTATTTTTAGTAGAGACAGGGTTTCACCATGTTGGCCAGACTTGTCTCAAGCTCCTGGACTCAGACGATCCACCCGCCTCAGCCTCCCAAAGTACTGGGATTACAGGCATGAGCCACCATGCCCAGCCCAAGAAATCTGAGTCTTTAGAGAGAACGAATCCTTCCCCTGGGTCCCCTGAGCACTCTCTTCCCTTGTGTTAAGGTCCCCCAGGCCCAGACACCCAACCCTTGCCCCTCTTACATTCTCGGTCACTGGAGGAGTATGGCTTGATGTCTCCCTCTGCTCTCTTGGGTGGCAGCTTCCTTGCTGGAGCTGGTAGTGGAGGGGACACAGGCAGGGTAAGCGTTAGGAGACATACTTTGTATCCCTCCTCCCAGTCACTACCCCACAACCCCAAACCTTTGCTCCCTGACACCGCAGTTCCTCCTGGGAACTTGCAGGAGCAGCACCATGGCAATGCCAGCACACCAAAAGGGAATTTGCGGGGAAGGTGGAACACTTCTGAGGAGAGCCAGAAGGAGTAGGCCAAACACAGAGCTAGGG